AGGTAATACCATATCTTCTATATGTTGTTCTACTACCTCTCTTGTCTTTGATGGGGCTGTACTCACAAAACTCATAGTTTCAGAAATATTTGCCGATGTGGAAGCCTTAACAATGCCACAACGTAATATTTGACGTAGGGCGTAGTCCGCCGCCCTTGCGTCTGTTGCATCATTAGACCCTCCTCTCAGGCGTACATGGGAAAACATAGCTTCAACAGCATCTGAACTGAATCCCCTTGTTAAAACGTAGTAAAATCCAACTTGTTTCAGCAAGAATTTTATACAAAGGCATGTACTCTTGGCGGTGAATTTTAAGGCCTCTGCTGTTTCTTCTGATAAACCAGACAATCTGTCTCTTGAAGAATTGCTTTGCACATCGTCGATGTAATTAGGAAGTGTTACATTTAACCACTCTAACCTTTGGTCTGATACATCTGCATAAGGTGCAACCGTGCTGTCTCGTGAACGGATATAATACGTTCTACTAGACACGTTGTGGATTTGGAAAAACTTATACATGTTGTAGCAAGGTTTTGCTTTATCCAGTGGAATTGATTGTTTGGAAATTATAGGTGAATAAAACTGAACGAAACGATTGAAATGTGTATTGCAACTTGGTGGTACATCAACTGAACTTACAGTCCTTGTTTGTTTCAAGTGCGCACATGCGCAAGCTTATGTCGGTAATACAGTTAGCAAAAGGGTAGTTTTCTATAATATCAACACTCCCACTAGAAAACTACAACTATCAACAAAAATAATTTTAAATTTAAATAAAGTAAAATTAACGCTTCTTGAGTCCCATTTCCTTCAGGTGCTTTTCATGCAGTTCCAGAGGTAATGCTTTGGTCATCACATCAGCTGTCATTTCCTTCGAAGCGATGTGTTGAACTTGTATGGCCTTTTCTTGAATTTGCTCACGAAGAAAATGATGTCTCACATCTATGTGCTTTGTCCTTGCTCTGTATCCTCCCACTCGACTCAGATCCACTGCGCTTTTATTGTCACATTTCAGAATAGGTCCTTCGTCATCGACTTCAGGCATTAATTCATTTAGAAGGCCCTGTAACCAAATAGCTTCTTGCGCCGCTGCACTTAGAGCCATGTATTCTGCTTCAGTTGTGGATAAAGCAATGGTGGGTTGTTTCTTGCTATTCCATGATACAGGGGCCCCTTGGAATGTAAAGACATATCCTGTGGTTGACCGTCTCTCATCTTCATCACCTGCCCAGTCTGCGTCACAAAAACCTGCAAGTTTTCCATTCTCTGTCCTTGTAAAACAGAGTCTGAAGTCCTTTGTGCCCTGGATGTATCGAAGGACTCGTTTCACAGCTGACCAGTGAGCAGAGCCTGGATTATTGTTAAATCGGCTCAATAACGCTAGAGAATATGCCAGGTCCGGACGCGTACCCTGACATGCATACATCAATGACCCAACTGCCTCTTGATATGGTACATTCTCCATGTTTTGAACATCGTTCGTGGATTTTGGGCACATTTCTTTTGTTAGCTTCTCGGATGGACTTAACGGAGTTTTAGTCGGATTGCAGTTTGCCATGTTGAATTTTGATAAAACCTCTTCTAAATATTTTGATTGGTCCAACCATAATTTGCCCTCTTTTCTGTCTCTTGTTACCCGAATTCCCAGGATATACTGTAATTCTCCCAAATCTTTCATTTTGAATCTGCTTTCCAATTCTTTCTTCAATTCATTTTTCATTTTTGTATCGTTGCCCAAAATGAGTAAATCATCTACATAGACTGCGACAATTACAATCTTATAATCCTTGCAAAGATAATATATGCACTCATCTCGTTTTGATTGATTTAGCCCAATTTCTATAAACGCTTGATGTAACTTCAAATTCCATTGTCTTCCAGCTTGCTTCAAACCATACATTGCCTTGTTTAATTTGCAAACTTTATTTTCTTGGCCTCTAACTTCAAATAATTCAGGCTGCTGAATAAAAATGTCATCGTTAAGATCTCCTTGCAAGAACGCAGTCACTGCGTCCATATGATCAATGTCAAAGTCATACTTGACTGCAAGGCCTAAGATCAATCTAATCGAATTGTATCGTACCACAGGTGAATAGGTTTCTTGATAATCTATCCCCTTACGTTGACAACAACCTTTCACTACAAGTCTGGCTTTAAATCGATCTATGTTCCCGTCTTGATCTAATTTTGTTTTAAATACCCATTTGCTGTCAATCACTTTAGCATTGGTTGGCAAATCTGTGAGAGTCCATGTTTTGTTTTCAATGAGTGCATCGTATTCAGCTTGCATTGCTTCAAGCCATCTTGTACACTCAGGACTCGAAACAGCTTCTTCAACATTTTTGGGCTCCCTCGTCAACGACTGAACATGGTAGCAAATATATTCAGAAAATTCCTTTGCTTTTCTTTCCCTACTTGATTTTCTTATAGCGGGTTCTTCTCTTTCGGTGTTTTCGACTTGCTCAACATCATCATTGGTTTCAATTTCATGGACATTACATTCAACCTGAATTTCTTCAATTTCTTGTTCATCAATTTCGTCTGCTTGAGTTTCTTCGATCTCACACTCTTCACTTTCTTCAGTATGATCACGGAGGTTCGTTTCATCGGTGATTGGGTAAAACAACCAATCATTGTTTTCACATTGCGATGCCTTTGGAAGTTCTTTTTCAAAAAATACAACATCTCTAGCCTCCACAATTTTCTGTTTTCTTATGTGATAGAGCCGGTAGCCTTTCGAACCATTTGCATAGCCCACATGAATGCATTCTTCTGACTTCGGGTCCAATTTTCTGCGTTGTTGTTTAGGCACGTGAACAAATGCCCTACAACCAAACACTTTTAAATAGGATAGATCAGGTTTCTTACCTGTGTAAGCTTCATTTGGTGTGACATCTTTCAATGTTCTTGTCGGTGCTCTGTTGATCAAGTGGACAGCTGTATTTACGGCTTCTGCCCAAAACCTTTTCTTCAAATTGGCACCAATTAATAAGCAACGCGTTTTTTCTATGATGGTGCGGTTCATCCGCTCTGCAACTCCATTTTGTTCGGGCGTATGTGGAATCGTTGTTTGGTGACAAATACCAGACAATTTCAGCAGCTTGAGCAACCTGTTGTTGACATATTCAGTTCCATTGTCAGTCCTCAGAGTCTTGATTCTATTTCCCGTCTGATTTTCTACCATATTCTTGAATTCTTGGAAAACATCGTGTACTTCTGATTTGTTTCTTAGGAAGTAAACAAATACTTTGTGGGTGAAGTCGTCCACAAAAGTGAGAAAGTATTTTGATCCTCCCAATGAATTTTCCTCCATAGGACCACATAGGTCTGAATGGATTAGTTCCAAGGGTCGGCTTGAGTTCTTGACATGTGGCTTAAATGGTAGACGGTGTTGTTTGCCCTGCACACATACCTCGCAAGGTTCACTCAGCGAATTTTTGAAATTCGTTCCCGTAACGACCCCGTTTTTTATTCGGTTCATGCTGTCCGTTGACGGATGGCCTAGTCTACTATGCCATAGATGTATATTGTCAGCAACCGATACTGAGTTAGCACCGTGCACCTTATTTTTCGGTCGATCCAGTTTGTACATGCCATTCTTCAGTGTGGCACTGGCGATGAGGGCGTTGCTTTTGTCGTATATACTGCATTTACTGCTCTCAAAGTAGACCTTGTGCCCCTTATTGGTTATTTTGCTTACAGACAGCAAGTTTGTTGTCAAATCTGGCACAAACATAACCTCTTTTACGTTTATTTTGTCAGGTGTACCACCTGTACAAACGTCCAAATTTACCTCCCCCACTGCATCGACATTTAGACGATTTTTATTGGCTACTATAATTTCCTGCGTGGATGAAGGAGGTTTGCTTGCGGATGTCAGCCATGTTTTGTCGTTTGTTAGATGGACCGATGCGCCGGAGTCGATATACCATTCATTTTTTTCAACATGATCGTTTCCCGTTGACAAGACTGTTAAGAAGGATTTCGCTTCCTTCGTGTTGGAAGATTTGCCATTTTCTCTCTGCAGGCGAGCCTTTCGTTTAAAACAATTCTTCCCGAGATGACCAATTTTATTACATTCAAAACACCGTGGCCCATTTTTAGTATAGTTCTTCTTTTCGGCGTGGTTTCCGAAGAACGCTACTCCATTTTTGTTTGAACTGCTTGTATCGACCTTGACCTCTTGTAATAGTTTCACCTTGATGGAGTCACTGGTAATGGCGATACCGGAGCTTTCTAGTCCCATTATCATCGGGCGATAATGGTCTGGCAATCCAGCAAGTAATAACGTCCCGAGCCATTCATCACTTACAACAAAACCAATATTCGTCAATTTATGTCCTGTTGAAATAATCTTGTTAACGTACTCTTCTACGGAATCACAATTTTCCAACTGAGTTGTGATTAAGGTACGTAACAGGCCAACTCTTCGCGTAAGTCCTTTATCGTCGAAGGCCTTGATTAAATTTTCCCATGCCTCTTTCGCTGTCTTCGCATTTTGCACGTGGACATAGTTTATGGGGTGTATCGACAGGATTATTTTGGCTTTAGCCTTTGCTACTTGTTTTGCCGTAGTGTTCGAACCCTCAACACATTCCCACAACTCTTCATGCTCCAAATATGTTTGCATTGCGAATTTCCATGAGTTGAAGTTTTCGCGCCCTAGTAGTTTTTCGATCGGTGGTAGCGTGGACGCTGCCATTTTGTTGCCGGAACACAAAAGTTTTTATCACTGAGATATATCGGATTCACCTTATTTTTACACGCGGCCAAACAATCAGCAGTACCCTGGGCCCATAACCTGTAGCAAGGTTTTGCTTTATCCAGTGGAATTGATTGTTTGGAAATTATAGGTGAATAAAACTGAACGAAACGATTGAAATGTGTATTGCAACTTGGTGGTACATCAACTGAACTTACAGTCCTTGTTTGTTTCAAGTGCGCACATGCGCAAGCTTATGTCGGTAATACAGTTAGCAAAAGGGTAGTTTTCTATAATATCAACACATGTTTTCCAGATAACTAATAGTGGCGTCGACGTTGCAAAACCTCGGATCACCTGCTTCCTTCAAAAACTTCAAAGATGCCGTGACTGATGGTGAAAATATTTGAATGGCTCGCAGCACATTCATTTTTTCGAAATTCGAAGGGTACAAATGCTTCCTGGTTAGGTACCTTACAGGTTTAACAGGCAAATCTTTTTGTAAATCGTACAATTTTTTCAAATATGTAGATGAAATAACACCTTCGGAAGAGGACATTTCCGTGTCTAAAAATAAACTCCTCGCATTCTTCACTGCGTGACAGTAATCGTAGCTCAAAAACAAAGGTATTGATGGCAGAACAGGGTGAGAAATATAATTCTGAAGAGATCCATTTCCCAACTTTTTAAAAAGTGCAGTATTTGCCGAAAAGTTATCCGTCACCAGTCTCAACACAATAAATCCACTTTCAGTCAAAAGTTGTAAAACCGAAATAGTAAGCGCATGAAAATCATTTGTGGATAAAGATTTATGAAAAAAATATCCCGCTGGGATGGTATATTTCGTCGACAACCCATGGACAACGTAACACAACATCTTATTTGCGATTTGGGGACGTTGGCCTATTTCGTGGGAACCACAAGTATCCAAGCCATAAATATGATCATCAGTTCTACTATACTGGATTCTTTCTTTGACTGACATATCGTCAACTATTAAAGAACACACTCTTTCAACCGGTACTCTAAAATTTTGGACTTCAGCCTCCAAACGTTGTTTTATTAAGACATTTTGGCCTTTGTATTCACCAAGAAACCTTGATAAAGTACTTTTCGAAGGAACTTTAAACAAATTCGTGTGACAGAATCGGTAACCTTTCGGAGAGCAAAATCTCCATATAATTGACATTCTTATGGTTTGCTCAGACCATCTCGGTTTCTGCTTAAAGTGGTTTTTTAATAAATCCAACAGAAATGCCGCCTTTTCATCACCAGCTTCTGCATTTCTTACTAATTTAGTGATAAGCTCTACATTTGGAGAGTTTTCGCTTTTCTGTTGCTTCAAATCTTCAATTTTTGACAAACATTGATGGTATTTTTGTGTGGTTCTTTTCAATTTTTGAGTTAACACTTTACAGTGGTACCGCAGATTTTGAAGTTCTTTTAAAGAAATTAAATCAGCTTGTACATATTTTTCAAATCTGCAAGGCAGGACAGGAAATTCAGGTTCTGGAGATGTTTCAACCTTTAAGCAATATAATTTCGAATTTTGTAAAATAATATAATAATAATTTTACATCAACAGTGGGTACAGCTTCTTTATTCAGCCGGTATCTCCTGTTGACAAATTTGAGACAGCCTTCTTCAAAGTGATTTTTACAGATTACAGAGTAATCATTAATATTTGTTACGTCTAAATTAAGAAAGAATATGTGAATTTTTACATTGATATTCAATATTCAAATTTACCACAAACTTTATTAATGACGTCTAACCATTTGGCTCTTAAAGTATGTTCCGCTGGAAACTGAAACAGCGGAATGCCCGTACTACCACAAATAAAGCATTTTTTAACCATTTTCTTTAATAATGAAAGAGTTTAATCAAATATTTAAATTGACAATTCGTGGATTTGAATTTGACAGTGTTTGACAGTTCTCCGATAGATGACGCCAAATAGAGGGCGGTCATGGCATGCTTTTTAGGAACAACTTTTAGAAAAAATGGGACGGCCGTATTTAGTTGATGGAGCTGGCCGTGGACAAGTTTAGAAAGTGGCGTCACCTTGTGAAACTTTTAATGATTACGATTATCGTCAGTGTCACTCTAGTAAACATTTTGTGTCACTTACTGTCATTCGTTTTTTTTTTTTCATTCAAAGTACAGTAATTATTACCACAAACAAAAGAGAATGGACAAAACTAGAATAAAACTGACAAGAATTAAGTAAATTATTTATACTTTTAAGATTTTTCTGCTTTGAGTTTTGTAATCTAAAATTAGTTTTCTTTTTAATGAATCAGTCTTTTCTCGGCAAATGTTGGACAAAGCTGGTTTTGCGATTATTGTCAAAACCATAATGCTGATCTCATTTTGGTGCTGCCTACAAACCAATAAATAATGTTTTTGTAAAGTGGGCTGTAAAATCTTGATCAGTTGACCGCATGTTTTTTCTTTTTTTAAATAAGGTAAAATGTCCTGTATTACATCGGCGATTCTCTTTACAAGCCCCACAAAAAATTCATTCGGATACACTAATCCACCATGATCCTGAAGAGTTATTAATTTCAAGAGAGGTCCAGGCATTGTAGTTGACACTAATGGGGCAATGCAGTCATGACATTGATTTTTTTTTGTAATTTCATTATTATATATCCAGATAAAAAGGCTACTGATGCAGAATAGAGATTCATTTCAGGTATTTCATTTCTTTGTAAGGAATGGATTTTAAAGCGTAAATCCGTAGGCAAAAATAATTCTTCTACATCTTCTTCGGCAAATTCAGCAACTGTTGATCTTTGATGGGAGAGTTCATTGCGGCTGATGTGACTTAAAGTTCTTGCAGTGTTGGCAGATGACGAAGATTTTAGAATTCCAGTTCTTAAAATTTGTCGTAAGGCATATTCAGCTGCACGAGTGTCAGTAGTATCATTTGAGCCTCCTTTTAAACGAATATGCGAAAATGTCGCTTCCACAGCATCTGAACTAAATGAGCGAGTTAACACATAATAAAATCCAGCTTGTGTCAGAAGAAATTGGACACATAAAAATGTACTCTTTACAATAAATTTTAGAGCATGTGCTGTTTCGCTGCTTAAACATTTATATCCTGTGCTGGCTGAAGTGGACTGCATATCATCTATGTAATTTTGGAAAGTAGTATTCAACCAATGGAGGCGTTGATCTGAAATGTTTACATATGGGGCAAGGTTGCTATCTAATAATGCATGAATGTAATGTCTTCTACTTGAGATGTTATGGACTTGAAAAAATGGAACATATTTTCCATATACAAAATAGTTGCATCACTATCAACAAAGTCTTCATATTTCTCTTCTTTTAATAATTTTAGTGCTGAGGTAACCGTTGGGGAGAATATCTATCTGCACAGCCCGCAAAACATTCATTTTTTCAAGATTTGAAGGATAGAAATGCTTTTTTGTAAGATATCTGACGGGTTTTAAAGGCCATCCTCTTTGCAAACCGTATAAGGCCTTTAAATAGGACGAGGAGATAATACCGGTTGTCGAATTCATATTATGACTTAAAAAAAAGGTTCCTGGCATTTTTAATGGCATGGCAATAGTCAAATGATAAAAATATGGGCATAGGAAGAAATGGGTGATTAAAATAATTTTCTAGAGTTCCTCCACACAAGTTCTTGAACAAAGCCACATTGGACGGATGGTTATCTGTTACAATGCGTAATACCATAAAACCACAATCTGTAAGAAGTTTAATAACTTGCAAAGTTAAAGAATGAAAATCAGAGGCCGGCATTGAAGAATGGAAAAAGTACCCAGCTACGATAGTGAAGGATGCTGACAGACCATTTTCCACAAAACACGCCATTTTATTTGCAACTTTGGGATGTTCTGTGATAGAATTGGAGTGAATGGTTTCAAGACCATAAATATAATCTTCTGTTCTACTGTAATACATTTTTTCTTTTATTGACATGTCGTCAATAATTAACGAACATAATCTTGGAACGGGATGCTTCTGCGCATAAACGTTCCTTGATTAAATTATTTTGTCCATTAAAATTACCAAGGTGTCTAACTATCGTCGATCTGGATGGTAATTTAACTAAATTTTTATGGCAAAAATCATAACCCTTCGGTGAACAATATCTACACACTGTACAGAGACGAACAGACAATTCGGACCATCTAGGAGATTTCTTGTTATAGTTATGAAGAAGATCTAGTAAAAATATGGTTTTTTCATCTGAATTCTCAGCATCAGTGTAAATTTTTTCCAGTGCTTCGATGCTTTGTGAATGTTTTTTCAACTTGTTTTAAATTTTTTTAAATTTTGCAGCACAGCGAACATGCGATCTCTTTTCATTTTGCAGTTCCAAAGTTAAGGTGTTATAATTTTCTCGTAAATCTGCAATTTCATCAGAAGATTCTGCTGTTTTATTTTCACTAATAATATGAGTAATAGACAACAATCATTAACAATAGTAAAAAAAAAAATCGTGGGAGTCAAAACCCTTCGCATTTGGGTTGGGAAGTTACGGTTTTATACTGGTTTTTATGACTGGGGATAGAGGACACCACTTTCTAAACTCCAAGGCTTGCTTCGTGAAAACCTCATTTTTAGGGAGTGACTTGGCCTTATCATGGCCGACTAGTATAAAGATTATGGCCTGTCCAAGAGGTACGATACGTGTTGCCATCTATTAATAATTACACTTAATAATTTAGCAAAATTTTAATTTGACTTGACATTATAGGACTTCAAAACGTGTAATGGTGGTTTGTTTCGGTATGAATGCCTTTGTGCCTTTCAAAAGGTGTTAATAATTCTTTTGTCGTTTTTGAATTATTAATAGATGGCAGCACGTAATGTACCTTTGACATTCCTTTGGACAGGCCATAATCTTTATACTAGTCGGCCATGGCCTTATCACGCGCCAAGTGTGATGGATTCAGTTGGCCTTGACTTTTTAAATTGGGTGGCGACATCTAGGAATAGTTTAGGCAACGACCACCCATGACGGCTTAAAATTCGGGTCAGAAAGAACAAAGGCGCCGACACGAGCTGTCTCTACTGATTGTTATCTATGCTGTGATCGCACATCATTCTTTGTTTTAAATAATTAATGAACAATACGCATGCAAAAATTTTCTATACATTGCTCCTTATTATTGTAAATGTTTAAAATACCATTTTTATACAAGTTTGTCTATATCATAATTTTTAAATGAATGCGATAATAATGTAACTGTCTGAACACTCATTACCAAAAAGTGTTACTTAGTATTTCTCAATTTAACGTTATTGAAAATTACCGTATGGTAACTTCAGACTTTGCTTTTAGTAAAAATAGAAGTCCACCGTTCAGTTATTAATATAAAGATCTGCGACATTTTTGTGTACAAAGTTCACTCAAATTGGGTTCTTAATGAATTCCTAAATTAGCTTTAGGTATCGTTATCAGTAGAGCTGTGCGGTCCAAATTTAAACGTTTCGAATCGACCCCTACTACGGGAGACCAGTGTCTCGCAGCCGATGTTACGTATCGCGAAGAAATTTACGCGAAAAATAATGTTCACTGAAAATCAGTTGATGATTTTAAAATCCATACCCACGAAATAATAAGAATAATAATTTTAATAATGTTCAAGTGTCGGTCTCGTTGACAATAAAACGATTGATGTGAATTATGTAAAATAATACACAATGAGAAGCGAGAAGCGAGGAAGGCAAGACTGCAGCGGCCTGCACTGCTGGCCTGATGGGACGGATAGTGGGGATAAATAAATTTGAACCGCACAGCTCTAGTTATCAGTAATCATTGCGTAATTTATACATCGGTTAGTATTCAATAAAAAAGATGGTTGGTAGTTTCCCGCATTGCGATAATGATGTTACTAAGTGTTTAGTTGAAGGATAACGATGCTAACAAGGAATAGGAAAAGTCCACGTCAAACAAAACATTACCATTTTTGTAATGAGGTAAATTGTTTGTACCAGAAAACATGAGATAATTCTGTTGTAAAAAACGGTATCCGAGTACAACTGAACAAAATATTGCTACGGATTCTTAAAGGTTTTTACTTTATGGTTAATTGTTTTGATTACAGTATTAGTCTGCGTTAATTTCAATTGTTCTAAAAACTTGTTTGTTTTATTTGATTTTCAAATTTTTTATTATACTGGGTGAGAATTATAACAACG